TTCCCCCATTCATGAATAGCAATCAGAAATTTAGCTTGAACCCAAAAACCACATCCCCTAACCTAATAACATTTAAGGAAACATATAGACATAATTCTAGCCTAGTACCTCCTCTCTCTGAAGAGAAGAGAGGAGAGTAGTCAGCTTCTGTCTTCCATCTCCTATTTCCCCTCCTGACAGGAATGAAAATCTCCATTGGTTCAGAAGGTTAGGGAAAAAAGATGGTAGAAATGTATCCTTCTTTCCTCTGAGCCCTACAGGATACATCATGTCACATGTGCAGAGAGCTTTCCCTACATTTATATTTCTCTGGGGTAAAAGTCAGGGTAAAGAAAATAACCCCAGGTGGCATCAGCCCCCAGAACTGAACAGACCCAGGTGCATGCGAGGGTGAAGGTTGCTTAAGGACAAACTTAGGTATACCTAAATTACTGCAGCAACTTGCCTCTTTGAAACTTTCACTGATTGTTCTCAGTTCTGACCTCAGGTTCAAACAGAATAAGTATATGATCACTCTCCTATATGATCACCCTTCAAATATCTAAAGATCATCTACCATGCTGCCATGTTCCTCTAACTCTTCTCCAGGCTCTACAGTTATCCCTTTCACATCGCAACTTTCCCCATTGCAGTTTTGATATATCATGTGTTGGCACAAGAAATTGAATGGATAGGGCAGTTAGGTGGTGCAGTGGATAGAGCACCAGCCCTGGAGTCAGGAAGACCTGAGTTCAAATCTGACCTCAGACATATAACACTCACTAGCTGTGTGACTGGGCAAGGTCACTTAACCCCAATTACCTCACCAAAAAGAAAAAAAAGAAAGATAAATTGAATGGGAATTTTGGGGGAGTTTTGCCGAAGCCAAAGACAACACATAAAGGCCAGCAGATGACGTAGAGACTATGACCAAATCCTTAATCCAAATTTTTACAATAAGGCAAACACCCCAAAACAGGAAAAGAAAAAATTCAATCTTTTCTGGTATGAGGAGAAGACCAAAAAATTTTACGCGGATTTTCCGGATTATGGATGGCACCGCACCCCTAATCCCTGTGATGTGGAAAGTTTAATTCTTCATTCTTAGACTGATCCTCATTATCTTTATATGGCATATAGGGGTATGATAGTAAATGTGTAACAACCAGCTCTTGGGGGGGGGAGAATTGCACAAAAAACACACTTTTAAGTTTAATCTGAATTATTAACATTTTTTCTAGCACGTTGTTAGGTCTGCACAATCAACAAAACAATAAATCAAGCTCTGGTATGACTGAAGGGTGAAGGTTCACACTGAAAACTTAACAATTGGTGTTCTAGAGACAGTTGGATCTGGTTCCAGCACACTGCTGTCCCTCACCATCCTGGCTGCCTTTGTCTGACTCTTAACACTCTCTAGCTTATAAAGGTCTTTCATAAAATGTGGTGGCCAGAATTACAAAGTATGCTCCATATATGGTCTGACCAAAGCAAAATCAAGCAGGCTTATCCCTTTCTTATTCTTGGAAGCTGCCATATGCCTTTCTTCATGCAACCCCCCAAGGCTGTGTTATTTCTTTTGGCTGCTTCTTCATGCTATTGACTCATATTAAGCTTGCAGTCCACTAAACTCCCAGCTATTTTTCAGATGAATTACTAACTGTACCTCCCCTATCTTGTACTTGTGAAACTGATTGTTTAAGCTTATTATTTTTTTTTCCTGTTAAATTTCATCTTATTAGATTCAACCCAAAGTGGCACAGTGGATAGAGAGCTGGGCCTAAAGTCAGGAAGACTTGACTTCCTGAGTTCAAAATCTGGTCTCACACCCTTACTAGCTGTGTTACCTTGGGCAAATCACTTAACCCTACCTGCCTCAGTTTCCTCATCTGTAAAATAAGCTGGAAAAAAAAATGGCAAACCACTCCAGTATCTTTGTCAAGAAAACCCCCAAATGGGGTCATGAAGAGTCAGATACAAATGAACAACAACAACAAACAATGTTTTGCCCTGTGGATCTTGTCTTTCACTCAGCGTGTTAGCCATCTCACTCAGTTGGGCCTTCATTTCGTGATCTTTAAAATGGGGATAATACTACTTACGCTATCTACCTGGCATAGTAGATAAGAGTGCTGGACTACTGGAGCTGGAGTCAGAAAGACCTCACAATTAGGGTTCAAATTCAGCCTCTGTGTGACCTTGGGCAAGTTGATTGACCAAAAGGTGGTAAGCCTCAGTTTCCTTTTCTTTGAGACTGGAGTCATAATAGCTCGTACCTCCCAGGGTTGTTATAAGGATCAAATGAGATAATATTTTTAGTAAACAGTGCTTTGTAAGCCTTAAAACACTATAAACATGCTAGGAATTATTGCTATTTACATGATTACTTTATGGAGTTATTGTAAGGAAAGAGATTTGCAGACCTCAAAGTCATACATATTATTTCTGACATATCTGAATTTGAAAAGTAACATTCATTGATTTCCTATGACTTATTTATTCATTTATTTATTTATTTATTTTTGGTAAGGCAATTGGGGTTAAGTGACTTGCCCAGGGTCACACAGCCAGTAAGTGTCAAGTGTCTGGTCTGAGGCCGAATTTGAACTCAGGTCCTCCTTACTCTAGGGCCAGTGCTCTATCCACTGCGCCACCTAGCTGCCCCCCATGACTTTTAAAATACCCAATATTCATAATTCATTCTAATAAATCTACCTCTGTTTGTTTGAGGTGTACCCCCTAAATTTACAATTTTTTTAGAAGATTGTTGTAGCTTATATTTCTATAATGCTTTACAATACTTTCTTTGTTAAAAACAACAACAACAACAACAAACCTGAGAATTAGGCACTCTAAAGAGTATCAATCCCATTTTGCCCATGAGGAAAACTGAGGCTTAGAGAGTTTAAATGACTCATCTAAGATCACATAGCAAGTTAATGTCAGAGCTGGGGCTTAAACCCAGGTTTTTTGTTTTTAAGTACAGTTCTCTGCCCAGGATTTCATACTAAACAAAATCATCCTCAGGGTTTTACTCAGCCCGGTTTTTGATGAGTATAGTGCAAGAAATGACAAAATGAGGAGTCTCCAGGTAAAGGGTGGGGGGTGAAAACTCTAAAGAAATCAGCTAATTTCAGATACACTGAAGAGATACAGAATTTCTCTTCCTAAAGCAAAGTTTCAACCATATCACTTTCCTTCTCAATTAAATCCCAGTGGCTCTCTATTACCTATAAGTTCAAATGCAAACTCCTTTGTTGAACATTTGATGCCCTTCACAACCTGGCGCCAATCTACCTTAACAGGCTTATTGCCTATTACTTCTCTTCAGGTACTTCACAATCCAGTCAAGCTAGCTTTCTTACCTTTCCTCATGCATGACACTCTATCACCCATCTTTGCACTTCTGCACCGACTGTCACCCATGTCTCAAATGCATTACATCTATACCTGCACCTTTTCTGAATTCTAGTTTCCTTCAAAGCTTGTTCAAGTCTCTACATGATGCCTTTCCAAATCCCCACCAACATTACTTTGTATTTATTTATTTGGTATATATTTATAAGTGTACCAAATAAATAAATACAAGGTGATTATTATTATTTTTAAAGTGTTAGACTGGCAGCTAGGTGGTACAGTGGATAGAGTGCCAGGTCTAGAGTCAGGATCCAGCCTCAGATGTTTACTAGCTGTGTGATCCTGGACAAGTCATTTAACTCTATTTGCTCAGTTTCCTCCTCTGTAAAATGAGCTGGAGAAGGAAATGGAAAACCACTCTAGTATCTTTGCCAAGAAAACCCCAAATAGGGTCATGGAGAATCAGACATGGCTAAAAATTTTAAGTGTACATGTCATATCTCCCTATAGCAGAAGTTCTTAATCTGAGGCCCCCGCAGACCCTTTGGAGTTAGATTTTGGGAGGTCCAGGAACTTGGATGTGGAAAAAAAAATTACACCTTACTTTCAATATAATTAGTTTCTTTTGCAATCTTATGCATTTTATTTTATATATCTAAAAACAGTATTCTGAGAATGCACACACAGTGCCAAAGGGGTTCAAAGGTTCACAAAAAAGGTTAAGAACCATTGCCCTGTAGAATATAAGCTCTTTAAGGGCAGGATTTGTTTAATTTTTCTTTGTTTATCTAGTGCCTGGCACATAATAGTTGCTCAATAAATGTGTATAGGGTCGGAGGGGGGGAAGAATTTGGAACTCAAAATTTTAAAAAATGAAAGTTAAAAATCATTTTTACATGTAATTGGAAAAATGCACATGGATTAATTGATATGCTGCTTTGGAAAGAAGCGCCGCATAGAGACTTCTTAGTTCTAGAAGACTCTGTCCATTCCCAGATCTATGTCTATCTTGGTTTCCCCAGAATTCTGGTTTCTCCATTCTATCCTCAGTGCAGCTAAAGCTATCTCTTAGCTGCCTTGGTCAATGAGAAAATAAGGTCACTCTGTATTGGTTTTCCAGACTTTGCCCTGGAGATGAGGCTAGGCTATAGACCTTTTCAAGGGTTACCTCCAAGTCTGGCTCCTCAAATATTTGCCTGCTTCCCAGGTAAGCAATATTTTACTCATCCCAGTTGCTGAGTGTAGTGCCAGAAATTATTTTACAAAGTAAGAAATGTCAGGGCCAAAGGGAAAAATAAGATTTTTCTGCAGTCCTTTCTCTTCAAATCAGCTCTTAAAACTCTATTCTTCCACATCTTCTATTTATATTCCTTTCTTCTTGTGCTAGAGCCAGCTGATACTGGCTTGGGAAAGTCAATTGTTAAATTTTCAGTATGAGTATTTCTACCTTGGAAATCAGCAAATACTACAAATCAGGGCTTGACTTATTGTTCTGGTGACCATCTAGACTTAAGAAAGTGATGGAGAAAATATTAATAATGTAGATTAAACATAAAAATGTGTCCAGCTCTTTCCAGAAAAACATTTTGTTAAACATTTATCAGCACACCACTTTAACCCATAGGACAGACACATGGACAGACAGATATAGAGAGCAAAAGTGATTTATTTAAAGTCATTCCACTTCCAGCATCAAATCCTTTATTAAATGGCCCCAGAGCCTGCGTTGGACAGCCTTGAGTACTCACACTCACACTCAAGCTCACACTTCATAAACTACTCTTCGTCCTCTTCCCCCCCCCCCCACCCCTCACCCCAACCAGCAACCCCATCTCAGTTCCAGGCTGCAGCTGAGTCCTGGGTTCTCTTTCCTCGTCAATCCTGGGGCATCATGACCTCCTCTCATACAGGCTGCTGGATCAAATACTTCCATCCTGATGGCCGAATTCTTTCCTCATCTCGTCCTGTGCCCAAAACTAACTGCAGTTGCGGCTGTACTGAAGGAAGAGGAAGAATGATCTGGGGTTACTGGGCGTCATTGAAGGTCACTAGGGGGTCAGTGGAGGTCCCTGAGGGTCGCTTGATGTTACTAAAGGGAGGAGACTTGAGAGATGTGGGAAGAAGGGAGAATTGGGACTTGGATTGAATTTGGGGAGGGGTGGGACTAGTATTGAGAGCTGGATGGGAAGGTGCTTACCTGGGAATTGTTTTTATCCAGTCTCTTAATGAGACGTTTCACCCAAAGCCGGTCAGGGGGAGCACAGAGCTGGTAACCTTTTTGTGTAGTGAACCTAGGGTCAGAGGTTGGAAGGAAGTAAGCACTACCTTTTAGCTGGCAGATGCATCCCCCAAGACTGATAAAGAGGCAGAGGTACGGGCAGGTGTAGGGACGAGGCCAGAAACCAAAACAGAGTCAGAAATCGAAATTGCAAGAGGCCGGAGTGGGTGAAGTTCGTGAGTAAAGAATTTTTTTTTTTTTTTTTTTTTTTTTTTTTTTTTTTTTTTTTTTTT